ATTTGCTTAACTTCACCGACAGATTAACCTGTCCAGTCCTATTGCGTCAATCGTTTTATTTACCAACGATGGAAGGCGATATATAAGCCCCTCTCACGTTGACATCATGGTTTACCGCTCGCGACATCCAACACGTGTAGAATTGTATTTATTTACTATAATAACAGTAGCACACAAGAGCCCCTCGGTCGTTCATCGAGCCTTGATCTTTCGTTTCGTTGCGTTGCGTTCCTATTCTCAACTATAGATGTAGGGTCTTTGTGTGTGTGTGTGTTTGTATGTATAGCTTCAAACGTTCATGAACAAAACTTCTGAAATCGTCACCAAGGTGTTCTCCTTCTAATCGCGAAGTAACTGTGTTGATTGCTGGGCAGTTAACGCATTTTTTGCACAACCTCACTAACTAGTCTATAGAAATTGCAAAGGATTCTTTTTTCAAGGAGCAGGGCAGGTCTATTTACTTCGCCGTCTTACTTCGGACTGCTGTGTCTCTCCTTTTCTCTATGCTAGTGATTATTAGACGGTATGCGATGGACGTGGATGTGGCTAACAGAGCAATTGATTGTGCTATTTGTATAAATACTGCCATCAGTAAGAAGATGAGGCTTTGTAAATTGTGTTTGTACTAGCTGCATGAAATCAAGGCTATTAACGACTGGGACGCGTTTTAGAGTGCTAGATCGATGACCAGATTTAATGGTACCGGCAAGGAGTCCTAACGCCTAAAATGCATTATGCGTGGCAAGCCAATTCCCTGCAACTGGTGTATATCGATGATAGTTTCTAAACCGTGTCGGTTACCCTGGATAGAGGCACACACATAATGAAAATAACATGCATGCTTAGACGGCACTCTTCAGGATCGATGAATTAACATTAGCAGTTTCTGTCGTTTCGATCACTGGGCGATGTTCCTGGGATGACTGTCAGTCTTAGAAATTCGCCAAGCTATCCTATTAATTACTTTAGAAGCGAAAGTATACAAATTTCTAACATCTGAGGCGTGCTCCGTATTTGAGGGTCCTCTCTATTAAATGTTTACGCAACGGCTCGAAAGTGGCAATCAGAACACCAATCGGTCAAGCCTGCCGTATACTTGCCGGTATATCTAGGGCACGTTTAACTGACTCTGGCAAGTCTCACCGATAGTGAAACGTATATAAAAGAAAAATTGGTGCTGGCAAAAATGAGACCCCAAAGGAAAGTTACCATACGATTTTGCCAGAGCTAATTGGAGAACTTCAAACGTGCACTTATATATATGTGTGTGTCTAGATGGGGCCGCTGAACTCTGGTGTTTAACTCAGAGTAAATGCGGATGAGGAACTGCAACGCCACGATCTGACTCAACTCTTTATAAGTTGCTATCCCATATAGAAATGTATGAGGTGAAACCGAGGGCGGTGGAAGACAAAAATGATAAGCAAACAATGAAGGATGAAGTGAAAATGCATAGTCAGCTCAAAACAGAACAACAACCGAAATGTTAGAACAAGTTCTGATAATAATACCATGATAATAATAATAATAATAATAATAATGATAATAACAATCAACTGCCGCTTCACCGGTACGTGTGACCGCATCAAATGTATCTCTCGTACGAAGGCACTGGTTCAGAGCGAGACTGAACCGAACTATAAGGAGGGTCTTACATGAATATAATCATCATAATTAATTAGTAATCAACCATAATAGACTAACTATAGAATGGGGAAAAATGAGAGAGAAAGTAACGAGGCTCAGGTTGGTCATATATAAAAAGACGTATGAAAAGAAGAGCGAAGTAAGTTAAAATGTAAACGGGAGAGGATGTGCACTTTAATTTGGCGGTTGATGATCGTGACGCTGGTCGAACAAGACGCGCGGGAAGGGGAAAGGGGGTGGTGGGTGGTGTCAGAGAAAGCAGAGAAGAATCGCCGAAAAGAAGTGGAAAAAGTGCAGAGGAAAATGATAATTATTATCATGTAATGGATCATCGTAAATACTAGGATTAAACAATTTCCATCTTCGTGGACCTCTAGCGGGTTTTATGAATCTCGTTTACAGCCGCGGCGCATTGTTGTCGATCAACCGTTAGCTACCAACACGACTGTGGCACGCGCCATTCGCCTCTGTGTAATACTACCTGTAATATATATATATATATATATTGTACTAGCATAATAGTTAAAAATGAAAAGTCGACTAAAACAATTATTGTAACTATAAGGTTAATGGTGATGATAATAATTCTGGTTATAATAAGTAAATAAATAATTATTAAGACTGTAATTATTATTAAAACTAAATGAAGGTGGTTACTGTAGAAGGAGACTGCAAAAAGACGAAGGTCCCGCAAAACGTGTCAACCACAAACGAGTAACCAACAACAATGCAA